ATCAAACCGACAATGCCGCCCCCGTTCAACCCCATAGATAAGAATACTACTGTTACGGGCTGGTTTTTTTCGGCGGAACTTATTTTTAATGCCGCTGGGATCACTGCTGACGATTTAAAAATTCGACTGGCTGTATCACTACTACGGGGACCTGCGCTAGATTGGTGGCGATATACTCTACAGGAGGGGGAGTTTTTGGCAGGCGACACACAGGGGTTTTTCGGAAACTTTGGGTCTGCTGCCCAAGGGTCAACCGCGATTTTTGGATCGACCAAGATTCGCACGTGGAAGGCATGGGGTACAGCTCTGCATGAATGATTCGAGCCAGTATCCGCCTCGGACAACGCACGCACGAAGCTGGACAACTGGCGCCAGTGGAGTTCTGTCCAGGATTACGCGTCAGTCTTCATGGCGTTATGCGACCAAATCACCGACATGCATGACTCCGAGAAGAAATCTCGACTCATTTCGGGTTTGAAGCAGGACATTAAATGCGAGGTCCGACTGCGACTGCCGGCGACGTTTCACGAAGCCGTCCGGATCGCAGATAACTTCGACGCGCATCGAACGTATGCGAGAGCGGGTTCCCGGGAGGGAAATCGTTTTCGTGGCCAGAATCCACGGCCCACGATTCACGGCGTAGTGGCGAAGGAGCACATGGACGATTTTCGCAAGGGACAATGTTTCAACTGCCACCAGCCGGGTCACCAATCTCACGATTGCCCCCGAAAGAAGCAGATAAAGAAGAACGACGAGGACAGGTCGGGAAACGCCAAGCGTCAGTAGCGGTCGGGCCCCCTACTGACCCTGCCTCATTGCCCGAAAAACACCATCCCCACCGGGTAGTGGTTCCGATACATGTTATCAACCGCTCCCGGCTGAATAAGGGGGATGAACCAGTGGACCACCCTGTATTGGCGGAGGGACGAGTCAACGGAAGAAAAGTCAAAATATTCATCGACGGAGGTGCGAGTCACGGCCTGATAAATCGAGAGACAGCACGACGACTACACCTGACGCTGGAGCGGTGTCTACCCGAAATCGGCGCGCGATTGGTGGACGGCACCCCGCTGGCGATACGCGACAAAATACCCGTCGTTCGAATGAAGTGCGGCGACGATTTTGGTTTCAGCGCGCCGATGTTGGCGACAACACTCGACGGCTACAATGTGCTATTGGGACGCGATTTGCTGCGGAGATTCAACCCGCAGATCGATTGGACGACAGGCGAGTGCACAGTGAAGTGCGAAAAAAGGCTGGCAAAAACTACCGACGTGGCCGGAAGCAGAGACGACCTCGACACGAGTCAACGCGGTGTGCCTCAAGCGAGCGGTCAAGGATGGAGCGGATTTATACGCCGTCCATCTCACAGAATCGACGGAGCAGAATGAGGCGACCAACATCAACAAACTCTGCGATTCGGTCCCGGATGACTTGCCAAGTGGATTGCCACCCGAACGACCCCAGGACCACAAGATTGAGCTGGAGCCCGGCGCGCAACCTACTGTACGAACACAATGGCGCCTGACTCAACCGGAGCTACAGGAACTACGGAACCAGCTGGACTACCTGTTGGCTAAAGGGTTCATTCGGCCGAGCACTTCACCGTTCGCAGCACCAATCCTGTTCACGCCAAAAAAGGACGGCGGCCTTCGCATGTGTACGGATTATCGTGCCCTTAATCGGGTAACGATAAAATCGCGCTACCCAATCCCACACACGGACGAACTCATCGACAACCTTCGCGGAGCTCGTTACTTTTCGAAGATCGACCTTCGTGGCGGTTACCATCAAATTCGGGTGTTCGCTGACGACTGCCACAAGACCGCGTTTCGTACTCGCTATGGGAGTTACGAATACACGGTGATGCCGTTTGGATTGACGAACGCCCCCTCAGCGTTCCAACTCACCATGAACGGGGTGTTCCGCGATCTACTCGACAAATGCGTCATAATTTACCTGGACGACATCCTGATCTACAGCAAGACCCGGGAGCAGCATTTAAAAGATTTGGAAGCGGTTTTTCAGCGGTTGCAGCAGCATCGACTCATCACCAAGGGCTCCAAGTGCGAGTTTTTAAAACAAGAACTGGAGTTCCTTGGGCATGTGATCTCCACGGAAGGGATTCGAATAGACCCGAAAAAACTCAGGGCTATTCAGGAGTGGAAACCGCCCACAAATCTGCAGCAGCTGCAATCATTTTTGGGTTTCGTGAATTACGTACGGCGATTTATACCCAACATGGCGGGGTTAACTGAACCTCTAACCGACCTACTGCAGAAGGGGACTTTTTACGAGTGGGGGGAGAAGCAGCAAGCTGCGTTCGAGGCATTAAAACAACTTTTAATGTCGCCACCGGTCCTTCGCATCGCTGACCCGGAACGGCCCTTCGAAGTCATCACCGACGCAAGTGACATCGCCATCGGAGCAGTGCTCATGCAGGAGTTCGGCAACGGGCTTCAACCAATCGCGTACAAGTCTCGGAAAATGCAATCTGCTGAGCGCAACTACCCGGTACACGACAAGGAGATGCTGGCGATCGTCCACGCGTTCAAAATCTAGAGGTGCTACCTGACTGGAGCAGACGTGACGGTGCGAACCGATCACAAATCCACTACAGTACCTACGGGCGCAGCCGAACCTCAACCCGCGGCAGATACGCTGGCTGGACTATCTGGAGTCCAATTTCACGTACAAGATCACGTACAAAAAAGGCGCCAACAATATTGCCGACGCCCTTTCCAGGCCATCTGCCCAACTCGCAGCAGTACTAGTCGCCCAGAGCAACCCGCTACTGAGTGGACTATTTACCCACGGGTATTCGACTGACCTCTTCTTCGTAAATAACGGCCATCTCCCAATCACTACACGGAAAGGCGTCTATTACTTACGAAGCGGAACAGATCGAATTTGGGTTCCAAGTTATCGTCTTCTTCGCGAATTACTAATTCAAGAAGTCCACGATTCGAATTTATCGGGACATTTCGGGGTTGATAAAACTCTGAAGGCGTTGCAGCGGTTTTATTACTGGCCAGATATGGTGACGGACGTGCAGCGTTACATGGCCGCGTGTGCGATCTGCCAGCGAATGAAATCCTCACACCAGCGACCTACATGACTGTTGCAGCCCCTCGAGCCACCTCAACGCCCATGGCAACACGTAACGATGGATTTCGTTACGGGACTACCGGCCGGACCCAGCGGAAACGACGCAATGTTGGTTGTCGTCGACCGATTGACGAAAATGGCGCACTTCGCCCCATGTCGTACAACCATCACAGCCGAAGAAACAGCGCGCCTGTTCATCTCGACCGTCATTCGCCTACACGGGATACCAGCAGCAATCATTAGCGATCGAGATCCGAAGTTCACGTCAAAATTCTGGCAGGACACGTGGGCTCGGTACGGCACGCGTCTACAGTTCTCATCCGCGTATCATCCCCAAACGGACGGCCAGACGGAAAGGACAAATCAAATGATGGAGCAGCTGATTCGGACAAACTGCCCCGACCGAAAAAAATGGGAGGACGTGCTACCCATGTTGGAATTTTCCTACAACAACGCGCCCTCAGCTACGACTAATCACTCCCCGTTTTATCTCAATTACGGGATGGACCCTACAGTACTAGTCTCCACCAACATTGAGAGTCAAGTACCACGATCGCAACAGTTCGTCGAAGAATTACAGACTGCCCGAGACAAAGCTGTCGAACTGATTCGCAAGGCGAACGCAACGGCCCGACGGTATGCGGATTTACATCGACGGGATATTACGATGACGATAGGGCAACTAGTCCTGTTGGACACCAAGAATTTACGACTACCACTACCGACGAAATTACGACCACGTTTCTGTGGCCCATTCAAGATCATGAAGATGGTGACGCCGGTGACCGCCCAGTTGCGCCTGCCTGATGACTGGCGTATTCACAACAAATTCCATGTGAGCCTGTTGCGACCCTTCGTTCCTGACACGTCAGACATCGCCCGACAGCGATTGGTCCCCGACGTACGGCCACCAGCCGAGACAACCATCGAGCCTTCGAAGATCCTGAGCCATCGGATTCGTATCGCCGGTCACGGATGACACGTTGACTTTCTGATACGATGGACCAATCGTACTAGTGAGGACGACACGTGGGTGCCCTCGGACCAGATACAGTCACCTTCGATACTTGCGAATGATTTGGACCGCAAGCACGTGGCTGATATAGATCACCTTCGCTAAGGGGGGGGGTGGTGTAAGGAATTTTCCATTCCTTACCGAGCGGTACTGCTATCGCGTACGCTCAAACACACCTGAAGCCTCGGGACTGTTCCAGACCTTCTGACAGAACCGCCTCGGCTTCTCCATACCTTTCGGTTCGACCTTCGGGAGTTCTCCGGGCCTCGCGTCGTCACTTCGAGACCCTTCGATCTCCTTCCCGAACCTTACCATCGCAGGGTTAGACTAGCTCTGGTGTTCCTATATCTTGGCTTGCCATTCCTTGTATCGTCAGTCAATTGAGTGAACACTTCATTATTCATTTCCGCGCTACTCTGCTTGTTCTATGGCTAGGCTGAGTTAGAATCTTCATACCTTTTAACCGAGGCTTGTCACTCTGTTCAAGTCTGCCACAAGCGAGACTTCGCAGGAAAATCACAGGAATGCCATGCTCCCTTGAGCTGCCCCTGCCCCCACTTCCCGCAGACCAGCACAGCAGTGACCGTACGATGTTCATCGAACAAAGACACATCGCCCAACGAAATGCGTCTCCGTACGTACGAACTGCCACAACCCCGGCTGAACCAGCGACACGTCAGCAGCAGCGAACCCGACATGAACCACACTCTGAACCCACGCACGCGCCGCGTCCACCACCACCTCGATGTTGGCTGGCTTCCTTCCTCCCCAGAGTCTGTTTTCCCGCCATTTTCTCCCCAGCCAGCCTAGCAGGGTGCAGTCTACTGTGCAGTATCACCTCGCGCAGCCAAACAGCCAGATTTACCTCGGAGTTGCGAATTTATATTCCACCAGAGCCAGAGCGAGGTTCTGCTTGGGCAAGCTTACTTCTGTATTGTACCCCCCCCCGCCCCCGTATTCCCCTCGTGACTGCTCTTTGTGTTCGATCCCATATTAGAACCGCCGTCGGCTAGCATCTTGTGCTGTAGTGCGGCTTCCCACGCGCCGGAAAATGGGTCTCCGCGGTCCGACGACGTACGACGCCGAGCCCACGCGGCGTCCCGACATGATCGTTAACTACCAGGTTCGCCCACCGACGTCTCACGCGTTCCGGCCACTCATTTATTTTTCGATGACGCTGTCAGGGATCTATCGTTCCAGGTCGCGACTGGACGCGACAGGATGCGATGGTTCTGCTCGCGATTCGCGAATCAGATCCACAATCCTGGATGATTCGCTGCGTAGCCTATATTCTCGCTCCTGATTTCCCGAGCTGGACGCTCCTTGCTTCGCTTCAGCTTCGCTCTTATAGGTCTCAGTGACCGACATGCATCTCCTGGCTCTTTTTCACCCGAGCACCTCTGCTCTCCCCCCTGCTTCCCTCCCACCGCCCCACGCTCGTACCTGATCACTCGTTTTTCCCTACGGCCCCGCCACAGGCGCCGTACAACGCGGAGACGCCCCCCTCGCTGCTGGGGACGGCGTTCGTGACGGGCGCGGATGCGTTCTACGTGCGCAGCCACGGGCCCACGCCCGTGCTGGACGACGCCGCCAGGTGGGATGCCAGCCGCGCTGCCACGTGGATGCCAGGCGCCCTTTGATTACTCTACGGTCGTGCTGCTGCTGCTGCTGATGGTGCTGATGGTGCTGATGGTGCTGATGGTGCTGGAGGGAGTGGGAGGGAGGGTGGGGGTGGGATGGGGGTGGGGGAAGGAAGGGCTAGTCGGCTTTCAAGCTTTGCCAGAGTAGTCTGTGCTTATTCAGGATATTTGAGGTGACATAGATGCTCATGGCTGCCCGTGTGCATGTGTTAACGTATTCATCTGTGCATGCGTGCATGCGTGCATGTGTGCCTGTGTGCATGCGTGCCTGTGTGCATGGGTGCATTGTGCATGGTTGTATGTGTGCATGGGTGCATGCGTGCATGCCTGTCTGTGAGTGCCGCCACAGCTATCGTCTTCAAGTGGGCGGTCTTGTGCCCAAGCCGCTCGCGCTCTCCCTCCAGGAAATCAAGTGAGCTTCTCCACCGCCTCCCCCACACAATACTCACTACACACTGCCACTGCCACCCATCCATCTCGTTCTCAACCTCTTCCCGCCCATCTGTTTTCATGCATGCATTCGTCACGCCTCCTCCTCACCAACCGACCCCCTTTTGACTGTGCTCTACTATGTCCTCCCATCCCTGCAAGTGTCCCTTGTGCCAAATCTCCCGTTTTCATGTTGGCATAACTTCAAACCATTCAGCCATCCATCTCGCTCCTCCTCATCCTCCCATCTCGTTTCTTGCTGGGCGCTGCAGGTCCATGCCAGCTGAGACCATCGTGGCGACCATGATGGTGAGCCCATCCGCACTGCTTGCTTGTACCATGGATAGTCACTTACAGCCGCGAAACACTGCATGCCGCCTGGTCTCCTCCATGCCGCCTGGTCTCCTCCATGCTGGCTGGTCTCCTCCATGCCATGCTCCACCGGCACCACCTTCTGCATCGTCTGTTCTTGTTCACCTTGGATTCGGACTATCTTCCTCCTCACTTCGATTGCTTTAAGTTGACCCCTGGTCTGTCTCGCGCTCTCTCTCTCCCCACTTCTTCATCGGCCCTCGTCCCATGTGATCCCCCCCCCCACAGTGTGCCGGCAACAGGCGCACGGAGATGAGCACTAGGCGCAAGGTCAAGGGCGTGGGATGGTCCCAGGCTGCCATTGGCAATGGTGAGACCCATGCCGTCCTGCCATGCATTTATGACCGCCCTGCCATGCATTTATGACCGCCCTGCCATGCATTTGTGGCCGCCCTGCCATGCATTTATGGCCGCCCTGCTCCATGGCAGCTTGCATTTCCCTTACAAAGCCATGAGCTATACCCACTCACTTCTGCCCCTTCCTACCCCTCTCCCTCCCCCTCACCACCAATCTCACCCCCCCATACCCCCACTCACTGTCCCCATCTCTTCCCCCTCCCCCACTCCCCCCCCCCTGGACCAGCCACGTGGACGGGGGTGCGTCTATCGCACGTGCTGCAGCTAGCAGGAGTGACCCCGCGCTCCACGCGCACCTCGGCAGGCGGCAAGCACGTGGAGTTCACCAGCGTTGACATCTGTCCGGTGTGTGCCGGCGTTGCTCCCTCACCCCCTGGCCCGCTCTCACACTCTGTGAGGTGATACCTGATGCAGAGCGGTGCAGCCCGGTGGACAGGGTTGAAATGACCCTTCGAACCTCTCTATTCGCGGTGCAATTTTCCTGCTAGCCTCCTCTTCCATTGATTGGTGTGCTTCGGCTGTTTCACCTGCTTCTCTCACATCTCCCTGCTGTTCACTTTCTTCTCTCATTCCTCTTCTGTTCTCGGCGTCCCTCTTACCTTCCCCTCTATATCCATCCCTCTGCCGTCCCTTAGGAGGAGAAGGGAGGTCCCTACAAGGCTTCTCTGCCGCTCATCCATGCCTCTTCGCCTGAGCAGGATGTGCTCCTCGCCTACAAGATGAATGGAGAGGTAAACGTCTTCAGTTATCGGCCTCCCCTTTCCCCACCCCCCCACCCCCCCACCCTCACCCCCACCACAAGCCCCCCCTCTCTCTCTTTCGCTCTCACTCTCGCTCTCTCTCTCGCTCTTGAACATTCGTTTCCCTGCTCAGCCTCCCCTTCCCCCTTAACCTCCTCTCACTCCTTTGTCTCAATAGGCACTCTCTCCCCATCTGCATCCCTCTCATTTTGCTCAGTTCCCTGACATGCTCCCCCCGCCCCTCAGGACCTCACTCCAGACCACGGCTTCCCTCTGCGCATCGTTGTTCCCGGGGTCATCGGGGCGCGTTCGGTGAAGTGGCTGGATCGCATTGACGTGCTGTCGCACGAGTCGCAGGGCTTTTTTATGCAGCGCGACTACAAGATGTTCCCGCCTAACATCGACTGGCACAACATCGAGTGGAACACCCGCCGCCCCATCATGGACTTCCCTATCCAGGTGAAGGGGAGCAAGCCATGCCATGTTGCCGTGCCTAGCCATGCCATGCCATGATGCCATACCATACCATACCATACTATGCCATGTCATGTCATGTAATGTCTTGCCCCTCTTCCCTGTTTTTTTCACATGCATGTCACGTCTTGTCCTGTGTGTCCTCCATTAGAGTCAGGGGCTATATCTCCATGGCGCCAGCCGTGCGGCCTGCTTGCCTAAATCCGTATCCATCCATTCCCCGCCCCTCCAACCCCATCCATGTGCCACCTCTCAGTCCGCCATAACTGAGCCTGCAGTGGGGGACGCAGTGCAGCCAGGTCCTGTGAGTGCTCCCATCGCCCCGGCCCCCACTATGGCTTGCACTCCGCTCATCCCCTCTTCTCCTCTCCTTCTTTTCTCCTGGCACCTCGAGCATTCACGCCCTCATTCCCTTCCGTTTACTCTCCACTCTCTACGCCGAAAACTCTGGAAGCCTTTCTTGCATCCAATACAACTCCAGCTTCATCAATCCGCCTGTATCCATAATCCACCATCCCACACCTACCGCTTCCCCTCTCGCGCACTCAACCACTCTTACCTCCCACACCAACCAACCCCGACCTACCCCTTTCCCTCCCTTCTTCCATCCCCTGCAGATCACCATTCGCGGGTACGCAGCAGTGGGTGGCGGGCGCGGCATCGAGCGGGTGGAGGTGTCAACTGATGGGGGCGCCACCTGGCAGGAGGCCACGCGCCTGCCGCACACCATTGACAACCCGTCCAAGCTCGGGCTGCTGCAGGGGCCAGCAGCAGCAGGGGAGGGCGGCGGCGTGTATGTGGCAGATGCAGAGGAGGAGGGCGAGGGGCGGTTCAAGTGGGCGTGGGTGCTGTGGCAGCTCAACGCCACCGTCTCTCCCCCCTGCCAGATTGTTGCGCGTGCGGTGAGTTGCGCCTGCTGAAGCGGGGGTAGCTATTAAGGGTTCTGTACCTGAGTTGCCCCTTTGCCGATCTCATTCGTCTCCATGGTTCTCCATGTCACGCTGGTCAGATCACCTCTGTGGCTCGGTGTCAGCGTGATGCATGCATGCATGCATTCAGATTGTGCTCTCGCCTCACAGCCTCTAGCCTCCGTCCGCTTTCTTCCCTCCCTCGCTCTGTTCACAGGTTGATTCGTCGTCCAACACTCAACCGGAGGATGTGGAGAGCATTTGGAACCTGAGGGGGGTGCTCAACAACTCATGGCATCGTGTGGACCTCAAGGCTGCTGCTGGCACTGATCCTCCTGCTAAGCTCTAGCTTGCTCGCAACATGTGCTCTTGTCCTGAGACTTTCATAACCGTTTCAGTTGCAACTCTCAGAGTAAAAAGTTGATGATGGGGTACAAGGGAATGTAACCTAAGGTGTTGTACTCCATATGAGCATGCACCTATCTAGCCTATAACATATACAAAACATATGTTGACACACCCCCTAGGCTAGACAAGGGGCAGCGACTAGCAGAAGACACGCAGCTCAGGGTGGTACTACTAGTCCAACCTCCGACCGAGGCAATGGTCCGAAGACCAGTCTGTCAACATATATATTTGTATATGTTTATAGGCTAGATAGGAGTATACCATAGAGAGTACAACACTTAGAACAAAACTACCCTGTATGCCCTTTCCTAGTCAACTCGTTACCTCGAGATGGTATCACGCTAGGCAAGGTCCTCCTCGCCCACCCGCGCTTCCACTTAGCCCTAGTCTTAGCTCTAGTCCTAGCCCTAGTCCTAGCCTGCAGGCCCCGCTAGTCGCCCCGCGCTCGTAGGCCCCGCTCGTCGCCCCGCGCACGCTGGCCAGCGCCCGTCGCCCCACGCTCGTCGCCCCGCGCTCGTAGGCCCGCCCTCGTCGCCCCGCGCTCGCTGGCCCGCCCTAGACGCCCCGCGCTAGCTGACCAGCGCCCGTCGCCCTGCGCTCGTCGCCCCACACCCGTAGGCTCGCCCTCGTCGCCCCGCGCTCGCTGGCCCGTCCTCGTAGCCCCGTGCTCGCTGGCCCGCCCTCGTTTCCCCGCACTCGCTCGGCCCCGCGCTCGCTGGTCCACGCCCGCTGGCCCCGTGCTTGCTGGCCCACGCCCGCTGGCCCCGCGCGGACCGGCCCCCTAGCTCGCTGGCCCCTTGTTAGCCGGCCCCGAGCTCCCCAGCCCCTTGCTCGCCGGCCCGTAGCTAGCTGGCCCCCAGCCCGCCGACCCCTTACTAGTCGGCCCCTCACTAGCCGGCCCCCAGCTCGCCGTCCCACCCCCCCCCCTTACTACCCGGCCCCTTCCTTGCCGGTCTCCCTCGCGCTGACCCCGGTCCCGCCGTGCCGCCGTGCTGCTGTGGCGCCGTGCCGCAGTGCCACCGTGCCGCCGTGTCGCCGTGCCGATGTGCCACCGTGCCGCCGTGCCGCTGTGGCGCCGTGCCGCCTTGTCGCGGTGGCGCCGTGCCGCCGTGCCGACGTGCCGCTGTGCGCCATGCCGCCGTGCCGCCGTGACGACGTGCCGCTGTGCCGCCGTGTCGCCGGGTCGCCGTGCCGCCGTGCCGCCATGCCGCCGTGTCGACATGCCGATGTGGCTCCGTGCCGCCGAGCCCCCGTGCCGCCGGGCGCCCGTGCCTCCACGCCGCCGTGCTGCCGTGCCACCGTACCGCTTTGGCGCCGTGCCGCCGTGTCGCCGTGCCGTCGTGATGCCTTGCCACTGTGTCGCCGTGCTGCCGTGACGCCGTGCCGCCGTATCGCCGGGTCGCTGTGCCGCTGTGCCGCCGTGCCGTCGTCAGCTGCTGAGGTCGTGGCATGGCGGACGCTGTGCTCCGCCTGGACGCGGAGGGTCAGGCGATCGACTTTAAAGCCCGGCTCCTCGACCTTCGCCGTCACCTAACAGGTCAGCGCCAGGACGGTTACTCTCTGGCTGTTCATATCGATAGTCTGCTTCCCCGTTCCGCCGCGCTTGCTGCCCTCCCTGATGCCCCCACCCCTGCTGAGCATGAGGCCTTTTCTGCTGCTGCGCTTGTCCGTGCTGTCTGGGAGTCGCGCGACGCCGTAGTGCAGCTTGCTATTAGTTACGCCCTCCCCCTGTCTGAGCGTCCTCGCTTTACCACTGTAGCGAATGCCAAGGAATTCTTAGATGTCCTCATTGCATGCTATTCCACGCTCGCCACAGCCTCTGCTGGCCGCCTGATCCTCCCCATGATGTTCCCTGATCTTGCGTCCTTCCCCACTGTAGCTGACCTTGCCATTCACTACCGCGCGCTTGAGACTAGCTACCGCGCCGATAGCACTAAGGCCCAGCTCACTGCATTCCCACCACTGCATTGCCAGTAGCAGCTCCAAACCGGCCCCCTCCGCGGCACTGTGTATGGTCGTCCCAGCCACACTGCCACCCGCTGCTTCTGCCACCTCGACGACCTCTTCCATCTCCGCTTGGCCTGTCGCCGGACCTCCCCGATTGGCCCAGTCTGGTACGCCGCCATGTTCCAGTCTTTGAGATGGATATGGATCAGCTTTGCTCTACCTTCCATGCCATGTATGCTCATGACTCTAGTGTACCCGGATCTTATTACTATGTGTTGCCTAGAGTAGGTGTGTTACCTGAGTATAGTGTAGGCTCCCCTGCTGCGTCAGGCGTAGGACAGCCAGCCTTGTTTAGCCTAGGCTCCAAGCTATCACCTTCGCCGGCTACCACTACCGCTTCGCTCTCTTTCACGCTCGACTTTGGTGCATCTGCCTGTTTCTTCCGTAACCACACTGCGCTCACGCCACTTGCCACCCCTACCGCTGTCGCACTAGCTGATCCCACCTCTGGTCCAGTAGTTGCCCATAGCTCCACAACCCTTCCCTGTTCGGCGGTTCCCTCGGGCTCTCTTACAGGCCTGCACATCCACTCGTTCTCCAGGAACTTAGTTGGTGTCGGCTATCTTCAGGACCTCGGCGTCACCACTATGTTCCCTGGGCACGAGCAGTATGCGGTCTGTACCGAGGCCGCCACAGGTGCTCCCCTCACCACGTTCCCCCGGGACCCGGTGTCTGGGTTGTTTACGCTTGACACTGCGTCTCCCTTGGTGAGGGCACCTCCCCAGGTACCTGCTTCTACCAAGGTCGTTGCGGCTTGCTCGTGTCGGTCCCTCACTCACCCGTCGCTTCGGTGGCACCACCTCCTAGGTCACCCCGCCCTCCCGCTCCTCCGTCACATGTCCTAGAACGGTCTTGTCCTAGGTCTCCCTGCGTCGCTCTCTGCCCGCCCTCCCTCGCCTGTGACGCCGTGCACGCCCTGCGTCGAGGGCTGGCTGCGCCATGCTCCTCACTCCTCCTCGCTTCGCCCTGCCACCGCGCCACTCCAGACCCTGCACTTGGGCGTCTGAGGCCCAGCCCTCGTCCCCGGGCCGCGTTGCGAGTGCTACTTTGTAGTGCTTGTCGATGACTACATGCACTACACCACTGTGTTTCCCCTGGAGCGTAAGGCCAACGAGCCTGACGTTCTCATCCCGTGGGTGGTTGCTGCGCAAGTCAATCGCGACCTCCCCGTCCCTTGTCTCCACTCTGACCGTGGTGGCGAGTTTGCCTCCGGTCGGCTTGGCCAGTTACAGTGGCGGATTAAATTGCCCGGATGTTTAACACTTTGAAACGTATCGTTATGCAACACATGTTTCGAAAATAGTAACACCCGTTTTTTTCCATTCTGTTACTCGGTTTTTGAGTTCTGCTTCATCCGTTTCTTGCTTGGCGCGATTGTGACACTAACGGAAAGTGGGGTTGAAATTTACTACTCGACTGTCGATGTGGACATTTCCTACCGAGCGGAAGAGTAGATCTATTTTCCCCCGTCGCTCAGTGTGTACATCGTCACGCGCACCAGTTCCTAGCTTAGTTGTTAGTCCGGAAGCGAGCCTACGACCGCATCGCTATGAAGCCGTTAAATGAGAAGAAGCGCGCGAGGATCAGAAGCATGTTGCGTGCGGGGCATTCGACTAGGAAAATAGGGAAACTTCTTGGCATAGGCAAGAGCACCGTGCACGATTACGGTATGAAACTCGCTGAGGAGACTAGTCGCGAGGAGGTGCGACCTACGATGCCTTCGGCCGGCCGCCCCCGCTTAATCACAACCCGTCTCCAGCGCGGAGTTATACGTGCGATTACTAGCGGCGAGGCGAAAAGCTCTTCAGACGCGGCCAAGATGTTGTTGGAGAAGCACGATCTCGCCGTAGACTCGAAGACGGTCCGCAACTCTTTACGATCCGCGGGGCTGATCGCCGTGCATCAGCCCAAGAAACCCAGGCTCTCACCGAAAAACATCCGCGATCGTCTCGACTTCGCGCGGGCGCATGCCGACTGGACGCTGGAGGACTGGAAGCGGGTGATTTGGTCTGACGAGACGAAGATTAACCGCTACTGCTCCGACGGACGTGCGTACGCCTGGATTCGCGAGGGCACCAGCCTTCGGAGCCACCAAGTCCAACAGACAGTTAAGCATGGGGGCGGTTCTGTGATGGTGTGGGGTTGCATGACGTATGAGGGGGCGGGGTTCATGTGCAAGATAGATGGCAGGATGGATGGGCCGCTGTATCGCAGCATCTTGCAAGATGAGCTCAAACAGACCATCGATTTTTTCAAGCTTTCCCCCTCAGAGGTCATTTTCCAGCACGACAATGATCCCAAGCACAGGTGTCGTCTGGTCCAAGACTGGCTTGGGGAGCAGGAGTACGCGGTGCTGGAATGGCCGTCGTGCTCCCCGGACCTTAACCCAATTGAGCACCTGTGGGCATACTTGAAAAGGCAGCTGGGGAAGTACGAAAAGCCGCCAAGGGGAATGCTGGAGCTGTGGGAGAGGGTGCAGGAGGAATGGGACAAGATACCGCCGGAGGTGTGTGCAAACCTGATCGACAGCCTGCCGAGGAGGATCAAGGCAGTGATTCGGGCAAAGGGACGCTGGACTAGGTACTAGTTTTCCTAGAATCTAGTGTGATACCATTTTCCGGTACAAATTGTCCACATGTTCTCCCATGCTATGCTTAGGAGTTTAAGGACCATGTGTGGTACTACTTTGGTGTTTGAACACTGGAGTGACTGCTCTAACTGAACTTCTCAGCGTTAATGCACACCTTACATTAAGGCTTAATGTATACGCCTGTGCACTCATAAAAATGCCAAAAAAGGCAAAACATGTGGACAATTTAATCCGCCACTGTATGTCGTGCGGAGGGCATCACCCGGTCGTGCACCCTGCCGGACTCCCCGCAGCAGAATGGGGTCGCTGAGCAACAAATTGGTTTGGTCATGGAGGTGGCTCGTACCTCTGTGATCCATGCAAGTGCACCCCATATTTTGTGGCCGTTCGCTGTTCGCTACGCCGCTCACCAGCTAAACCTGTGGCCGCAGTCCCAGCAGCCGCAGGTTTCGCCGACCCTTCTCTGGACCGGGATCCCGGGTGATGCATCTGCGTTCCACGTCTGGGGCTGCCTTGC